ATAAATTATATACAAAAAAAGGGGGAGGGGGAAAAAAAGACCCAGCCAGTAGACTCACCCCACTCTAAATCCACCAGAGGTTCCTGTCAAGATTTATCTAAATCATTAAAAGTTTGTTTTTCCTGATAAATCTCTTTCATGCACTGTGCAATGGTTTGTGCTTTTATAGCATAAAAGTAATTATACAAAATAAAGGTAAAGATAGGATAAGCAATCTACCAATCCACCTGAGTAACACACACAAATCTAAAACCCATTACATTACACTTCTGAGATGAGTTCCCATTTGAAGTGACAGGCTTAAATAAAGATTTGAAGTTCAAGTGATGAAAGAAAACAAGCATATGGTCAAGACATCAGCCAGATGCTTCAGCAAGCCTGTAGAATAAAGGTTTTAAATAATCAAACTTACCAGTTCGTTGCTTGTAGATGTACATCTCAGCTTTTCTTCAATCTCCCTTCCTATTTTCTGAACGGTTACCTGAGTCTGTTTAATTGCACACTGGGCTCTGTGAAGCCTGCAAGGAGAAGAGAAGTTACAGCTGTACTGAAGGTTCCCCACACGTGTCCTAATGACGAATGCACCAGCCGTCTCAAAACCAGCAGAGATAATATGAATTCAGATTGTCAGCTTCTATTTCGAAATGAAACATTAGGAAAGGAATCATAACTTGCACAGTTTATAAGTGAGTATCCAAAGCAAACCAGCAAGTCTCTAAATCCGATCAACTATCAAATGTCCTCTTCATTTGTTAAATTCAATAGATGCCGATAAGGCAAAGCTGTAGGTGAAAGAGCAGGTAATTACAGGGATCTCGCATAACAATTAAGTTATAACACTTAACATCAAGACAGATACACACATGATAGTTACTGTGAGCATTGTTAACATAAGGCAGCTTTAAAAAAGCGCAAGTATCCTTTATATAACATGCAGCTGCCCAGGCCAAGAGCACAAACCACCCTTTAGTATCTCCAAATATGCTATGGGCCCTTCTGTAACAAAAACATGGGTTTCTTAACTGAATCACATTTGAAGCATGAAAAAGATGGTGATGATGATGTGTTTCTGATCATTAGTCCTGGCTTCAGGGTGAAGAGGGAAAACTGATTATTTGCCATATTTATTGGGAAAAAAATCAGGCAGAGGAAAGCAATGGCGAAAACAGGTCTGAGAGAGGCATTAACATCTTTCTTAGAATTAACATGGAGTGGAAATTAACTTATTTATTAGAAAAAATTAGAGTTGGTCTGCAGTCATGGACTATGTCTTTTAAGGCATGCAAACCCAGGCTTACTTTTACCATTCATAGTTTCGCTACTAAGGGCTTCTCCATTTTTAAGGGTATTACCCCAGCAGCAAGGCTGCCTGAAGGAACACCCAACTCGACTAAGGTCTAGTTGGAACAGCAAAAACGTGGTCAGATAACCTACTGTATGACATTAGTGCTTTCCCAGGCAAACATAACAAAAAGACCAAGCCTGCTTCAACGCATGTTTTAATGATCATCTCCATTTCACCAAAATGAAAAAAATCTCTGCCTCTTCACAGGAATGCTTAATTTTACCAAAGCAAGGCTGTGAATTTGCTGTGAGCCACGGACCAAAGCACTATGGCACATAGAAGAGGCTACTCAGCTCCTCCCTTTTACATTCTCTAATCTCTTCTAGAGTTATAAGCAATTGAGGCATTACTATTGAAAGTTTTTGGCTAACTGTTTTTAATGGTCTGTATGCGGCTAGACCAAGGTAACCAGGTTACACGCTTCAAGTATGAGTAACCACAAAGCATTACTCCTCCTCCTCACCCCATCTCCCCTCAGCATCCCATCCCAACCCAACAGCACGCATTACGTATTTGTTTATTCAGTGTGAGGACAGTGCCTAAACCACCTAGCCCAGCAAACAAATACACGGAGAGGAGATTATACAACAGGGAACAGGCCGTGCTAGTAATATTAAACAAGGTCATTGGGATTTAGGACTTTAAAGATGTTATAACTCTAAGTGAATACATTTAAGTCATCAGACACCTTTAGTTCCTTCACACTATCGCTTCTCCTAAATGACACTCTCTGTAATAGATTTTTTGTTTGAAATTATACTAAGTGATCCCTTTGGTTTCTTTAGAGCTCCTCGGGCTGCTCATGGCACACACAGCCTAGGAGCTTTTTGGGGGTAGCTGTACCCCATCTAAATCATACATCAAGCAGCATGGCTCTGCTGACTGCAAAAGACTTCTGGGGGTGGAAAAAGGGCTACGACATCCCTAATGGAGTACTGAGACCTCCTGGAAACACTTATTTCCTAGTGGGAATTACTACTTATACCTCCCCTACCTTGCCAAATATATCTTGAGGCTGTTGGCTAAGTAACATATGGTTACGCAGGTCAAAGCCAAGGTTTGCTGACCATCCTGAATGTCATTTAGATCTCTACTGTCACATCGTACAGCAGGGTCTAAGTTTCCTACTTCAACAGTTTCCAGCCTGTCCCTTTCCAAAACGGTGGAACGTTTTCTTTCCAGACATAAGAAAGCCTTACCCAAAGCTAAAACTTACAGGTAAAGAGTAATGACAGAGTGACATTTCCCTTTCTCTTTCTCTCACCTTCATCTAATTTTATACTGGAAGAACTTTCTTGATTTAGTCTGCTAGGGGATTAAGAAAGAAATTCTACAAGTCTTCACATCACGCCACGCAGGTAGCAAAATCTGACTGCTGAAGAGTGTTTTACTCTTTGACAATGTATTTATGAAATGGAGAAATTGTTAGAAGGGTCATTTGCCATGCGAGTTCCTCACAGTGATACTCAGCTAACAGCCTACAAATTTTATAACAGCTTCAAGTTCTTCTGCCCGTGCCCGAGTATAAGGAACAACCATCTATTCAGACTAACTTCTCAAACTATTTGGTGAATCTACACCTAAAGGTATATTCCCAACCTATAAAGACTGCTATACAGAATAATTCAGCAATAAAGTCTGTTTTTAATAAGAAAGGGTTTTCTTTTTCAGCCAAACATCATCCAGGCATTTCTTGCAATATGAAACAACCCTACAGTTAAACTTGGCTGCCTTGATGCCAAATAGTGCCCATTTACATTGAGCCAACCAGTATCAGTAAGTTTTCTTTCTTGCAATCCCAGTATGTTCACTGTCGTTCCGAGAACTTTAAAGTGGTAACAGTAAGATCATGACCACGTCCAAAGTTAAGCCTTCCAAGATGAAAATTTTAGGGACTTCATGTCACAAAAGCAGCAACTATCAACAGAAATCTCCTTTCTACAGCCAAAAAAGCCCCCACTGCACCCACACGGAAATCTTTGGTCATCCAACAACGGGAATACAAAAGAACATCAGCAGGGAAATTTTGTCCATCATTTCTGCATGCACAAGACAGACTTTGATGGAAGCAATTATGATTGCACCAATGAACGGAGATCAGCAAGTTGAGGCCATAAATCTGGATTAAGATTTATATATAATGAATGGAGAGAAGCTTCAACACTAATTCACTGCATATTGTTTCCATTTGTAGTATGAATGCAAGTCCAACACTACAGCTTAAAGTTAGCACAATTTGTGCTTTGAGTACAAGCCGGCTTAATTTAGTAATTGACAACGATGAGCCAACTGATGGCATAATCTATGTGCTATCAGCCACCGCAGGATATTTCCTAGATTGTTCAAGAAAGTTTTTTATTATTTATTATTAAAAAGTGCTATGGAAGTGCTAATTTAAGGGCTAATTCAGGGCTTCACGAGGCCACTGGCCTGCTACCAAATTTCCTTCGGCAGTCAGGAAAGCCAAGCCTGTTACGGCCGAAACTCAAGCCTTTTTAAAGAGATAGCTTAGCCAACAGTGTCGTCATCCTGTGTCTGCAGGCCGTTCTGGTGTCTCTGCGGCAGCTCGCAGCCATTGTCAGCCAGCAGCAGAGTAATACGAACGTTAAGTGTGACGGATTTACTGCTGTTGCTTGGGGCCCTGAGAGCTGCTGTACAATTGTCCAACATCAGGTGAGTTACATGCTGCTGCCTGGGAAAGAACTGAAAAGCAAAGCAGACGTTAAAATTCCTTACCACCCTAATATAGTTTGGAGGGGGAGATCCACGAAGCTGTTCTACTTCCATGCTCCTATCACCTGCTTTCTGAGATGGGGGAGACTAAGAGGAAACAAAACACTCTCCCTTCCTTTGGAAGTTTAAAAGACAGTGGGATAGATACAAAAACATTAGCCATGTACTGTAAGCTAAAACCAACAAAAGCTGCATCCCTAATCGATCTAGGAAGAGCCAGCAGGCAAAAATTCAACATCTCTCCTCTTCACTTGCTAGTTCCCAAGTTCCTGAAATACGGGCTATTTGGGGTATTTCTTCAAGGCTTTTCAAGTCTGAAATAAAATCGTTTCCTCTTCTCCACAAAAACTCCCTACTTTCTACCTTGGCTGTAAGATTTGAAACAATTCTAGCATACAACGTTCTGCCGATCAATTCAACGTGGGTACTGACTTGGAGGAAAAAAAAAAAAGTTGCCAAGTTTTGGACTTACCGTTACAGGATTTCTTTGCAGTAACATCCTTGTCTTGTTTGCAGGATCAAGCAGTTTTCCTGACATCCCAAAGACTGCACAATGCAGTGGTCCACCGTAACTTGACTTTACAACTCGGGAACGTGCTGTAACAACACATTTGCTCTCTTTCAGCTTGCAGTAAGTTTGAGGCAGTGTTTGAAGGTTCAGCTGAAGCACTTTCCTTTAAGACACGTTGCGGCATCCTGCAACTGAGATATCCCTCTTGGTCATGAATTAGCCTAGTGATTTACTAGTTTATATAGCAAGTTCATTCCTGACTGCAATCTTTAAAAAACGGAAAGCTGGAGTGTTGTGACAGTCGTGCCTCTTAAGCTAAGATATGCTTATATTTACATTAACGAAAGAGTCTCCACTTTATTAGACGTTTGACACATGATTTTGTAGTTCTGTCATACACTCCAAATATGTATTTGCTTCTATCAGACACATCTGGATTTTTCATGTACAGAATTCTAAGCCATAAATACATCAATTAATTACAGCAGTCACACACTACAGCTACTTCTCACAAGAGCAATAAATGCCTATGGTCTTATTTGCCAGAACAACCTTAGTTTACAATGAGACTAAATTTAAACTGAGAATTACTACCAGGGATTTAGAAAATAGAACAGAACACTTCTGGCAATAAGTGAGATGTAGGATCCTGGAAGTAAAATACCCAAACCTACTATTAAAGAAAAAAAAATCCAATTACTTTCCTATTAAATACAAGAAATGGAACGCACACTTCTTTATATCAGTCCAGAAATTAGATTATGGAGAGTGCCAGCCAGCTATAACATATTTTTTACATAGCCCCTTAAACCATCATTTGCTACATCTGCTTTCCCACAAGAAAAATTTTTCTAATTTATAATCCATACACTCCCTTTCCCAATTTCCTCGGAAACCTATACCTACAATTTGTCAAAAGCAGATGTAGG